GTAGTGAAAATAGAAGTTTTTGAAATTTAGATGTGATGAGAAAATCTGCCTTGGTTATCATCTCTTAAGTATATCTCAGAAGGAAATCTGTGCAATTAAGAATAAAAATTTGGTATTTTTAGTTGACTATCACTGTTAATTTCTTTTTGAATATCACTGTAACTTAACAAAGAATAGTTTAATTCAATGTAGCGACGTTTAGAGTTTTATCCAAAACTCCAACATTACAGGCTTCTAGAAGAAGGTTAAACTTCACATCCTGTGAATTACAGCTCCAAAACAGTTCTAAGAGAATATTCAACAGGAGTATCGGGACTTATGCCTATTTCTCTTTTGCGATAGAAATGTTTAAACACATCATAATGCTACATTCATACTATAAAGAAAATCCAATTGAAGTCAGATATTTTGTCAGAAGCTACATTTGTTTCAATAAACGTCTTGATGTGTATGAAAAGACAAATTTGTTTGTAGGTTTATAAATGACCCATTCTTAACCTGTTCTTTTCAGATGTATTATTCAAAGATAGAGGAGAAAGCAGTGCTTTTTTAAAATGTAAATTGACAGCTTCTTCTTTTAGAGAGAATTTTCTGGTATTATTGATAAGTTGTCAAATTTTGAAGAGAAAACTTTAGACTTAATGATTGGTGCCTTTTACAAGCTTGGGAAATAACTTTCCAGCGTGTAACCAAGACTTGAATCTTTGAACAGATTTTTACGTTATGATTTTTTTCTGGAATCATTAAGGCCTATTCAAAATACTCACCACTTGCCTTCTTGAACCCCCTTTTACCTGTTGCTTATTATGTGTGATAATAAGGTTTTCAGAATATTATGTGTTTCAGATTCACCAGTACTATAACCCTAGTAAGTTGGAAGTATAAGACTCCCTGCTTAGTGCTGCATATTAGGAGTTTAATACAGTGTTCCTGGAAGTGTACTTCTCACACCATTCGTGAAATATGTATGTCTCAGTCAACTTTCTTATTGCTGAGACAAAATACCTGATAGCCACAAATAAAATGGAGGAGAGGTTGATGATAGAACTGTGGGGGACCAGCGGTGGCTGAAAAGATAAGAAGTATGAAATATAAATGACCTTTATTTTGAGAATGCGGGGAGAGAAACCCCCAAACCCCCAGGGCACACCATCTCCACCCCGGCCGGGGTCAGTAATCTCTCCGTGGAACGCCTGGAGTGAGGCACATAAGTAGCCTCGGCTTGGGGTGGAACCTTAAGGGGGCATTAGGGATGCACAGGTAGCCCATTGGTCTTTGTTTGGCGCCAGAGGTAGATTCCTAAGGGTGGGTGAGATAGGAGCTCCTTGGCTTTACTGGCTATAGGGTGGGGCCAAAACCCTTCAGTTGACTTTTGGCTCATGGTGTCAGAGGTTGCAGGCTGTGGTTGGTTGGCTCCAAGGAAGAAAAATATTGGTAGAGGGGAAGGAAAAGGAAGCTGCTTTTCTTGCTGGAAGAAGAAAGAAAGGCAAAAAAGGCTGAGTGAGCAATCTACCCTCTAACACCATGCTGGGTGAGATCCACCCTCTGGACCCCACCTCCTCGTAGCACATACAGCCATGAATGGATTAGCTCATTAATGAAGACAGTTCCTGTAATCCAGTTATCTTCTGCAGGCACCACATGAGACTTTTGGGGTACATTTTCAATTTAAACCACAACAACACATATCATTTACTTTAAACTTTTTTTCGGGTGCTATGAGATAAATGAGGGTAATTAGTTATGCACTAATTTTTGAAGCCCATATAACTGAGAAATACTAATGAGTACTTATACTGAAGTCTGTCTTATTCTGAAGGTAGTTTAAGCAAAAGGGAATTTCTTGGCCTCATAATTAAAATGTTTATATGTATACATATGTAAGATATGTATTCTGGCAAAGCTGGAATTAAGTCTCTGCTACTGTCTTCCTGTTAGTTCTGCTTTCTGTTGTATTGATTCTGTTCTCACAGCTTCAGGCTCACAACCTTATAACATCAGATGTAGTGGGGAAGTCTGTGTCCTTCATGATGTGAGTAGAGGCCTTGGCATTGAGCCTGATTGGTCTAACTTGTCCTAACTTGATTCATACATTCATTTCTGACTCAACTAGGATATAATTTTGATTTGGTCTAGGTCTATTCTACTCCTAGGACCTGGAGTATAGTGAGGCTGTTCAAAGCCTGTGGGCTGAGAATTTCAAAGTGAGAATCATTCAAAGTTTGAGACTGATCAAAGAATCCATGTTGGATGACAAAATCAACAAATTCTCTCTACCTACTGGGTGAATGAATGACCAATGCTTGTAGATAGGTAGCAGTGGTGAATCAGCCAGAGGGACCCCGCCTCCTTTTTTTTTTTTTTTTTTTTAAGGAAGTAAAAAAGAAAATCTAAAGCTGCTCAGATTAGCATAGATTAAATATTCAAGTTAAATGTATTTGACCATTTGAATTAAGGCCATTTGTTATTTCCAAGGGCTGTGTAATACAAATTTGATTCATAGTGATTTTAATCTAAGATTGGATGATTTGTTTGTTTTTTGAGACAGGACCTTCCCATGTTGTTGGGCTGGCCTTTAAGTTCGCTATGTAGCCCAGGATGGCTTTGAACTCTCGGTCCTCCTGCCTCAACTGTCTGAGTGCTGGGGTTACAGGCTTGAGAGTGTATGATTCCAATGATATGCCAGGATAGGAAACTTCAGAAAATGTCAATATTATTATTACTATTTTTTGGTACCGGGGATTAAACTCACAACCTTGTACTTGTCAGGCAGGCACTTACACCGCTGAGCTAAATCCCTGGCCCTATTTCTTATTTTTTTACTATGAATATGATGTGCAGTGACTGAGCATACATATGAAGTGACTCCTATCATAAGTGTTTTGTAACACTTTTTTTCACATTTTGTCTTATAGAACAAATTATTAATATATAACTAATACACATTGACTAAATTCAGATTATTTTGATTTTTGACTATAGTTGAATGTACAATTTTTAAATTTCAGTGTCTTTGATACAGATTGCACAGCAAAATTCCTCAGTACTTTATACTCCATTTTCCTAGTTGTGGAGCCTGTGAGTAGGGATTTTTACTGAAGAGCCAGTACTGTCTCAGTTCATGGTTTTTCCGACAGGCTTCTAAGTTTTGAAGCATAAATTATTTAGCGTACATTTCTAATAGATGCCTTTTCCTTTCGTGTCGCACATATATCCAATAATGAACAGAGTCAACTTACCTAATGGTTAAATAATCTTTGTTGAAAAAACTTTTCTTTTCATACATTTATTAGGGGACATTTCAAACATATACAGAAAGAATAATAGATCCATTCTCAAAATAGCTTCAACTCATGGCCCATCTCATTTAATTTCAATCTCACTCAACTTTCTAAGTTATTTATAAATTACTTACTTTCAGTCAAATTGCAGGTGTTCTATCATTTCATCTTGTAAATATGTATTTTAATACATATCTCCAAAATCATAACTTAAAAATCATAACAATTTTATTATTAAATCTAAACAAGTAGCAGTAATGCATTAACCTGATCTCTGAATCTCTTAAATTTCATGATAAATGTTAACAGTTTATTCTTTAAATAATGGCTTAAGCACTATAAGTTACAGTTGTTTATGACTTTTAAATGTCTTTTAACCTTAATCCCCAATCCCTTTTACACTGAAATATATTTATTGGAGTTTCCCTCCATCTAGATTTTGCTGATTGTGTACTTGAGTAGGTTTTTTTGCTTGTGTAGTACTGGGGATTTAACGTAGGGCCTTCATGCTGAACTACATCCCCAGACCTGATTTCATTTTTTTATTTTGATATAAATCTCACCCAGCTATCCTGGATGTTGTTGAACTTTCCATCTTTCGTTTCAGCCTCCCAGAATGCCAAATTGCAGGCATGTGCCACCGCACCCAGCTCATACTGGATTTCTTTTTTTTTTTTTTTTTTTTTTGGCATGGTATGTCATGGTAGTAGTGTGGAGAGAATTTATAGGTTTTACCAAGGAAACATATTTAAACAAATGTGTTATGAGTTCTTTTCTATTTTCTAGTCCAAAATACAGTACAGTAAGTCCTCAGTTTATGAACATTTCAGCTGTGAACTTTTCCAGGTGTGCTGCATAAAACTCACTTTGTCGGCTTAGGAATAAATCCAGTTTATGTACAGTTCTCCCAGAACAGGGTTGAGACTGTCTTCTACTGTGTGTTATGCACACCCACACACATCCACACACACATTTTGTGGTGTTGGGGATTAAGCCCCAGGACCTCACACATATGAGGCAACCACTCCCCACCCCTTGTTAAGCTTTATTTTAAGACAGGGCCTCCTTAAATTGCCCACAGTGTTCTTGGATTTGTGACCTTTCTCGTCAGTCTCCTGAGCAGCTGGGATTACATCTGTATGATAACACATCAGTTTACTTATAATATTTTATAATGGGAAAATTGAAACTTTGTCATGTTCTTCCAATTGGATGTTCTGAAAGGAAGGCAGTCATCCTTTTTTTAAAAAAAGGAAATTTGCTGGAGTCCTTATCAAGCACAAAGGTTGTGCAGTGCTTCCTTGATGAATGCTTGATTGGTGGATGGAGTGAATTGTTTCAGCTGGCATCTTGAGGATTGATGTCAATTGATTATTTCTACCTAATTCAAAGTTTTATTGTATGTATATATTTAATAAGTCTGAAGCTGTTTAACATTGACTTGCTTTTTAGATCAGCTTTTTAAAGTTTACTTTGCAAAATTAAGCTTTCTTGTATGAAATGTCTTTATGTTTCATTAAACATTTCATTGGTTTCTTTGGGGAAGCATTCAGTTAAAATTGCAATTTTTTTTTTGTTGTTTTCTAAAGGTATCTATAACACTTTCATCTTTCTCCTGATGAGGAACTTGGTCCTGAGATCTGTGCGGTTTGAAGATGGCTGATGACTTCAGTATTTGTGCAGGTCTCTGATTAATTGCAGTGTCAGAACTCTTGGAAGAAGTTGACAGTCTTTTCAGGCTTTAGTCGCAAAGTGTACATTATGCTGTGACCATAAGAAAGGCCATGATGGGTTGATCTTCCTGATGGGTACGGATGGAAAGAGGCTGCCTGTACCCTGTGAAGCCTGCTCTCCAGCTGCCCCTGCACACGGTGCCACCTCTATGGAAGATGATGCCAGTCCCTGCCACTCCTCACTGGACAGCCTCTTAAGCCCTGAGCCTGATAACAAATGACTTCTAATTTGGACTGACTTTACTGCTTGCTTCTACAGCAGTGGAGAGGTGTAGCACATTGGCTTTACCCACCACAGCGGCTATGGTGAACATCCCTGTAACAAAAGACAGATCAACAAGAAAAGAATAGCAGATCTGTTTCACCAGAATTTGACAGGGATGTAGATGTGTGATTGGACAGAAAGGTTTGGTCTCAGATGGGAACGCTCCTCTGCAGGGCTTTTGTGGACCTCTGTTCGTCAGTCTCTGCTTGTCACTTTCCCTCTGGGTATGTGTGTAGGACTAGTCAGAGTAGTTCTTTGTGGCCAGCTTTTCCAGAAAAGGGAGAACGCTTTGGGTAATATTTCATCTTCCTAGCTTGCTTGAGGGAACTGAGTTTCTAGTTCTATGGTATACCCTAGAGAAAAGGTTTGTGTGGCCTTGTCTTGGGAGAAGGTTAGAGAGAAACTTGGCTCCTGAGGCTCCACTGTGTCTTGTATCTCGGAGTGGCATGGTGCCTTGGGAACATCATTTTGTGAGTCCCGACACTCCATTCTGCTGTGGGAGATGCCAAAACATTGGAATCCAGGAGAGTGAAACTAGAATTCTGAAGCTCCTTTCAAAGAATCTCCAGCTTTATACTCCAAGCTCCCTGTGCAGCGACTCTGCGTAATTCAGCTCAGGGCCCTTCCTATCCAAGAAAGAGTGTTGCTTTGAGCATGATTACCCTGATAGCCTCTTATGTTATACTGTCTTCTGCCTCTCGTGGAGGGGTACCATGATTGACAGGACTCTCGGAGGCTAATCAGTGTTATTCTCCAAACTCTCGGATCTTGAAAGGATGCATAGATTTGAGGAATACAATTAATGTTGGCTATTTTGGGAAATGGAACAACATAAGCAGAAAGCAGTAGCAATGACAGATTCAGAGTCCTTCCTATTCATCTTCTAGGTATGAGGCTTCCTTCTTGCAGGAGGAGTGCTGTGACTTTCAAGTGTGAATGATAGGTTTTTTTGATGCATTTCACTGCCGCTTAGTAGATCTCACCAGACTCACTGTTCTGTAAAGTGCTTATGGTATGTGTGTAAATGTTCTGTGGTTGGAGATGTGTCTGTTTTATTCATATATACCATTATTTTGTAATATTTTCAACATCTAGCTAGTATTTAACACCTAGCAGAATCTAAATATGTTTGGCTAGCCATATTTTAAAAGTCACTGAATTCTTGAGAAGTTATTTGGTTCTCTTTATTCAGTGGCAGTGAAAAACATTAGACTTGTCAGGTAAAGATGTCCTATTCAGAGGGCTTGGGGACCAAAGAGTTGGTTACAAACTGAGAGCTTTAACCTTTACACTTAATTGTTTTGTCACTCTTAGTATTTTCCATCACTAACAACCATTCTACAATTCTCCAAAACTAACTAGATGTCTGACGAGTCAGTTCTGACATATCTAGAGCAGTGATGGTGATTCTGTTAGGGCTGAGTCCCCAAACTGCAACCCAAAACTCACTTGTGTATTGCAGAGTGCCGACATTGCAATTAGATGTGAATGCTGAGCTTTTAGTTTAGAAAAAACAACTGTTTTCTGGTACTCAGCTGCCGGGGCTACTTGGCGGGTGGGCTGACAGAGAGGGCTTTGTATGCCTACGCAGCATCTGTGTCATAGGTTTGATCTAGAGTTAGTGTCAGATCCCTCAGGACCACAAGGTTGCCACCCTCCATGCCGGGAGGGAGTCCCAGGCCCTGTCACTTCTGACCGACTAGCTGTAAACCCCCTGCTTCCCTCTTCAGATCTGATACTTTTGCTCTACTGGTTTACAAAACTCAAGGGAATGCATACTGTTACCTGTCTGTCATGGTTTAGTGTGGAGGATGCAGACGAGGAGGAATGCTGTATCCTCGCTGATGGAGGAAGTACGGTACAGGGCTTCATGCCCCCTTGGGGTCTCCTACCCTTCCAACTTCTTGAAGTATTTTACCACTGTAAAGGGTCTGCAAATCTCCAGCCTGGTGTGTTGAGTGGGACTGGAGTGCAAGGGAGAGGAGGGCTGGAAGTTTTGAACCTTAATCATTTGGTGTTTTGAGTGACCAACTCCTCCACTGAGGCGTTTAGGGGCCAATCTTGTCACCTCAGCAGCATAAACTCAAAGGAATTTATTGTGAATAACAGATCATCCCTATCCCTCAGGAAATTTCCAAGGTTTTAGAACTCTGGACCAGGAACCAGGGACAAGGACCCAATATACACACAGACACACATGGTCTGCCAAAAAATGTTTGCATCAGAAACAGGAAAGCTTGTATAAATAGTTTAATACTAAATTTATTAAGACATTGTGAGATTAATACAAGTTACTTAGGGCCTCTACAAGAAGTGCTCAAGGTGGTGGCCATGAGCTTCCAGACATTTATTAGTATGACAAACTGCTGAAGTGTACATTCATTTTCTTGTTTCTCATTCTCTAATCTCTCTCTTTATGTGTATGTGTTTCTGTCTGTGTCTCTTATCTATTTTTTTTTGCTTAGAATCAGTTACTTAGTGCTTTATAAAAAAACATGAGCCAATATTTATATCAAGGGATTTCTGCAAAAATAAATAATAATAATAGGGCTTTGTCAGAGTGTTGAATCAGCAGAATGGCAGAGCAGTAGATACCAGTGCTTATTCATGCTAACTGTGTGCTCCTACTTGAGGGTACTCAGTTTAGCACAGTCCCCAGCCCTCATGCCACCAGCATAGGTGCTTAGGCTCAATCTGCATCACCCCTGAGGTATAGGAACTTTCACTTTTGCTAAAGACAAGAGGGTTGGACTTAACTTTCAGGTGTAAAGTTTCAATTCAGTTTGAGAATGTACCACCTAAGGGAACTCAGAACACAGTCTTTCGCTTGTATCTCGGAATTCCTTCCCACTACTGTTGTGTGGTGTATGTTCAGGGGTGTGGTTGAAATGAACTAGACTCACAAATTGCAGCTTGGGAAACAAGTATGCAGCTATTCATGCAATTAGGATATGAACTTCTGTTCTGTTTATAGCTCTTACCATTATTTGAGTCACGTGAAGTTGACATTTTTACATGTTAAAATTGTAAATATTGGCAATTTCATGATTCCTAAATATTTTTATATGCTTGAGTTAGCATCGAGAATTGATATGTTATAGGATTGACCCTCATTTCTCTCATGCTCCAATCTCCTCACTCACCCCCTTGTTTACCCTTAATAAATAGGCAGATAAATGAGTACAGTTGTAATTAAATGGTGGGTTTGTGAGTGGGGGAAAAGTACAGTGATAGTGTTGTTTCTTTTCTATGCAAATGCTGTTAGTTACATTCAGTTCTGCACTGCACATTTCCAAGGGAAAGATTGTCTATGAGTCTAGCTGATAATGGTTTATGGAAGCACTCTTTTTGGAAATTAAAATATGGTCACTGTCAAAAATTTTAAGTCTTAAGAAATCACAGTTACAAAGTTCTCATTGAAAAATGACTATTGCTTAATGAATGCTGTACTTCAAATACTTTTGTGACAGTGTAGAAAGTATCCAAAATTATAAGTATATGCTCATTCTACTTTTTGCCTGGATCATTTTTAACCAAGAGTGCCCTTTTGGTGATCATGAAGAAAGTCATAGTCTTGGAACTTCAGGTCCAATTTTATCCTTTTGGGAGGAAATTTATTCAAATGTTAGGTCATTTTATTGCTTTTATTTGTAAGGTAAAGAAAAGAAAGGAGGGAAGTGAAATTTAAATAAATCACTAAAGCTAATGATTATTAATGGTGTTTGTAAAAAAAATAAGCAGAGGAGATGATCAGGAAGCATATGAGGTAATTGAAAGTAGTTGCCTTGTTTTTTAGACTTCTAGTTTTAATGTTTTATTCTTAAAGCATCACATTAATTTAATGCCTTCCTTGAACATCTGTATGTTAGAAGCTTTTGAACACAACAATGCTAACAATTCTATTTTACTATCTTAGGATGCCCAGCCATCCTATATTAAAACAGGAAAATACCAGGCAAACCTTGACAGCTGGACAAGTGGCTACCTCATTGTCATTTTGAAATTATTAGGATGAAGTTAATTTTGACATAGCTAGAGAAATATGTTTTTTTTTTTTTGTTTTTTTTTTTTTTTTTTTTGTATTTTTCGGTACCGGGGATCGAACTCACAACTGTCTGCTTGCAAGGCAGGCCCTTATGCCACTGAGCTAAATCCCCAGCCCCCGAGAAATATGTTAATAATCCTGTCAGCTCTCTATAATTGAGGTTTAAAAAATTCTAGCTTGAAAATACTTCTGGCAGGTACTTTTTCTTGATATTTTTATTGTGTTGGAAATTTAAAGGTAAATTTGCTTTGTGGTCATTTTTTAAAAAAAATCTTAATTTACTTCTTTAAACATGAACAGCAAGTGGGCATGCTATTAATAAATAATGGAAATTCTCAAAATAAATGATTAATTAAAAAATACTTAATGTGGGAGCCTTACAAAAAGATACACATGAATAGTCAATGCTTTAAGAAAGAACAAATGCATGTATAATAGTACTTTGATCTGCATTAGTTTTTCTGCACTGTTTTGTGGTCCTCTTCTTGTCAGAAGTAAATAGTGGTGAGTGCATGAATAGTTTTTCGTTTTTATCTAACAATTATGCATGTCCTTGTCTCTCAATTTTGTAAAATAATAGAACTTTATGAAAAGTCACCATTCTCTTGATTTGCAATTAAATTTTCATTCTTTTGAAAAAATAAGGTCAAAATAGTATGACCAGGAGTCTAATTACAGACTATTAACAGCTTGTGCTGTGTGCTAATCTTTATCCTGAATTCACATTAGGTATCAGCCTACTTTTCTCCACAAGGGGCACTTAAGTTAATTGCTTCATTAGGAGCACACCTTCAGCCCTTCTGCTCTGCAGTGCAGCTCCTTGGCAGAGATGCAGAAGTTTGAACACCTGCAGCCCAAGCAGCTTGAAAAGAAGCCACCACTGAAGCTAAAGGAAAATAAAAGCAGCTCAAGTTCAAAATGGTGTTACCAATAATACAGTGTTGTCACTGAGCTGACCTAAGAGTTGGCTTCTGCATTGCTCCTTATCAGCATCCAAAAGGGCACACAAAATTCTTTGTGCACTAATTTAAAAAGTGTCTTGTTTATTCAGAAGCAACTGTGAATGGTATTTGTTCAGACTGTAGATCCCATCAACTGGCATACCAGCCAACAACTTATTTCTCTTCTAAGAGAGAAGCCAACTATCAAAGACACAAAGTACTAAAGATAAGCTTCTCA